GAGCCTCTGGCATCCAGCTCACCCCGGCCCGTGTATGTGGGGATGTGTGGGGGATTTTTGGGAGTGAAAGTCCGCCCACCTACAATTCCCAAGGGGGGAGAAACACTGCCTTAGAATGGGGTTGGCTAGTTTGTGGGTTGCTGTATGTGTGAACACAGCAAGAGAGAACTCCCTTCTCTCCCTTCCCCTTGGGTCTTGCCTTCTCATCCCATGAAAGTGGTTTAGGCGTCAGCGTTCCTCCAGAAATAGGTCCGTCTGAATCAAATGGGTCGGAGTTTTGCATTTGTTAGCCTTCCCCGATCTGGCCCCTTTCATGCTTCCGGGAAAAATTCCCCCGTGGTCCATGTGCCTGGAGGGCACCGGGGTGGAAAAGCCACAGTGTCCTGGCCGCGAGAACAAGCCGCCGTGATGCCTCTTACCTTAATTGTCCTGGTCTCGGTTGGGTCCCAGGGAGGGTCTTCTTTCTGACTTCTCGGGGGAAGCCAGAAGCAGCCTGGAGAGGGAGAGCCCCTTTCCCTGCCTTCCTGTTTACCGCTTGTCATACGATCTCCCATTTCCCCTCCCAGCTGCAGAAGTCAGCTGTTTTTGCAGGATGTGGCTTCAAAGAAAAAAGAAAGTTGAGGCATCAGGCCAGAGATCTGGAAGGTGGGGCGGAGGACAAGTGCACGGCAATGCCTAAATGCAACGCCCCAGAGTCCTCACGGCCACCGTTGGCAACGAAAGGCAAGAAAAAAGGAAGCGTTCGTATCTGAAATAAATAACAACATTAAATAAATCCACCGTGGTGGAATTGCCTCCTCAGGCAAAGAACAAAAGCTACAGGAATGGAGCGGTCTGTGCGCACCGTATTTTTTGCTTCCTTTCCTTTATATTTTTAAGGCACTCTCTTGCCACCGCTGAACGAAAGTCGCTTTTAAAGTGGATGTTTTCTTACCAGGACTTTTGTGGTATCCCTCAGAACCCCTGATAGTTAGAGAATAGTTAGGGGATAGTTAGGGAATAATAGGGATAGTTAGAGAAACTTTAACTGTAGTGGAAGAAAGCTCATACGGCTTACATTTGTGAGACCGGTTTTGACTTAAAAGTCAAAAGCAGCCTTATGAGTGTAAACCAGTGTTGTCCAAACTTGGCCACTTTAAGATGAGTGGACTTCAACTCCCAGAATTCCCCAGCCCCCATGCTGGCT